TGTGGTGTCTAAGTCATAAGTCAGTGCCTCACCAGCAGTGAACCTCACCGCACGTCACTGGTAATTATATATACATTTATATAATTATTTATTTATATGTAATGTATAAATAATGTTTCTAAATTATTTATTTAGAGACTAATGGGCAAAAGATGTCGGTATTTATGTTCATAACTAGAATAAAAACTACTACATAGTTACTGGCTGTTATTGCCCTAAATTATTAAAGTGCTTGAATCCAACACATTTTTAAGATTTTTTTCCTTCCACTTCACAATAAAAAAAATTTGTTTCTTGGTTGTGTCATCACAAAATATGAAAATATTCAGGAATGTTTTTGCCAAGCACTGGCCTACATACAATACAGCTTAAAAGAAAAGCAGACTTATTATTTATGTGTCTGTTTGTCCCAGTGGGTGTTAGGTTTGCTGTTTTTCCTTTTTCCTGTTGCATCATCATGGTTACGAGCCACATACCTCCCTATCCATGTGTTCTGTGGCCTCACTCTGTTGGTCATGGCCATAGGGACGAGCCTGCTTGGCATCACAGAGAAACTCCTGTTCAGCATTACGTAAGTCTCTGTCGGTATGTGCCAATTATAGTAACTGCTGTCTTTGATTATAGAAGGTTGTTGTTGTTTTTTTTTTGTTTGTTTGTTTTTTTTTTTCAAATAAACAAGATGCTTTGTTTGCATGACAACCCCAGAGCGCCTCGGGTAAAACCTGCAGGGGGAGTAAGTGTTAAAGATTTGTGCAACACACAATATTTAAAAGCAAGAGATGTTTTTAAATATTTGAATAGGATAAAATATTATTTAAAGATCTAATGCGGGTAATGTAGTAATTATAGAGACCCAAATATCAAATTACAACAAACTGCTCAAAAATATGTGTTAAGCAACCAAAAATAATATGTTTTGACAGTTGAAACCAGAAGCTTACATACACTAAATAAAATTACACATATGGATTTTTTTCAGTTTAGGTCAATTAGGATCATCAAAAAAATTTTCTATTTGCCAAATACCAGAGTAATGTGTGAGAGAGAATTTTTACGGCAGTGTTTATTAATTTCTTAAAAGTCAAAAGTTTATTTAAACTTTACGAGTATTTAGTACCATTGCCTTTGAGTACATGTTTTGGATAAGCTTCTCACAATAATTGAGAAGCTTGTCAGTAATTATGGCCACTCCTAACAATGGTCATTCCTCCTGACACAACTGGTAGAACTAAGAGAAGTTTGTAGACCACCTTATTCTTTTACGCCTCTTTAGCTTTGCCCATGAATTTTTGATAGGACTGAGATCAGGGCTTTGTGATGGCCACCTTGAAACCAGTCTGGCGATATGCTTTAGTCATTGTCCATTTGGAAGACCTCAAATGGGTCTTTATTTTTTTTCCCAAGGGTTAGGATTAGGGAAGGTTTGAGCCCTTTCCAAATGGAAGACCTTAAATTAGCCATTAGCCGGGAAGACCCGCTTTAACTTCCTTTAGCCACAGAGTTAGGGCTAAAAACATTAGCTTTAACTTCCTGACTAATGTTTTGAGATGTTGTTCGAGTATTTCCACATTCTTTCCTCATGATGCCATCTAAGTTGTGAAGTGCACCAGTCCCTTGTGCAGCAAAACAGCCCCACAGCATAACGCTGCTACCCACATGTTTCACAATCAGGATGGCATTCTGAGGCTGTCAAGCCTTCCTCTTTTCCCTCCAAACATAACTATGGTCATTATGGCCAACCAGTTCAATTTTTGTTTCATCAGATCACAGAACATGTCTCCAAAAACAAAAGTCTTGTTCCTGTTTGCGTTGCAAAAATTAATCTACCTTTTATTTTTCTTTTAAAGTAACGGCTTTGTCCTGGCAGAGTGGCTTTTCATTTTATGTACTTGTTGATAAAGTACTCGTTTCTTGCACAGGAGAGAATTTGTAGGCACAGTCAAGGTGTTGAGGGGATCCGTTTTGGTGGCCTTAGACTCACATCTCTGCTTTTTGTGGATGATGTGGTCTACTGGTTTCATCAAGTTATGATCTACAGCTCTCACTGAAGCAGTTCACAGCTTCGAGTGTGAAGCTGCCGGGATGAGGATTAGTGCCTCCAGATCCGAGACCATGGTCTTGAAATGGAAAAGAGTAGAGCACCTTCTCCGGGTCGGATAGGATATCCTGCCCCATGTGGAATAGTTTAAGTATTTCAGGTTCTTGTTTACAAATGAGGGAAAAATGGAGCGATAGATTGACAGACGGATTGGAGCAGGGTCTGCAGTGAAGCTGGTGCTGTATTGGTCTGTCGTGGTGAAGAAAGAGCTGAGTCAAAAGGTGAAGCTCTCGATTTACCGGTCAATCTACGTTCCTACCCTAATCTATGGTCATGAGCTTTGGGTCATGACTGAAAGAACGAGGGTCACGGAGACAAGCGGTCAAAATGAGTTTTGTCCCTGGAGTGTCTGGGCTCTCCCTAAGCCATAAGGTGAGAAGCTTGGCCATCCGGGAGGGACTGAGAGTAGAGCCGCTGTTCCTTCACATCAAAAGGAACCAGTTGAGGTGGCTCGGGCATCTGGTAAGGATGCCCCCTGGACACCTCCCTGGTCAGGTGTTCCAGGCACATCCCACCGGGAGGAGTTAATTTCACCCTGAAACAATGTATCACTGACCTTCACACTAATGTATGATGGTGTGTTGGTCTATGACATAAAATAGGTAAAACTTTGTCGTTTTAATGTGATATGTGGAAAAGTTAAAAGGACATGAAAACTTATGCAAGGATATAATGTTGCTGCGTTACTGCATGCCATCTTCACTATTATAGTTTTTATTTCTGTTCACAGGGATACGTACTCTCTGTTTGCCCCAGAAGGGGTGCTGGCCAACATGTTGGGGATCCTGCTGCTGTTTTATGGGGTGCTGCTAGTTTACCTGATCACCAGGGAGGAGTACAGACGTCCCCCAAATCCTGAGGAAGAGTCTCTGTCTGTCCACTTCAAGAACCTGACTGAGGGTGGGGTGCCATCAACACCCTGAAGCTCCAACTGACACATCTAGGCCTTTCTCATATAAACAATGTTTGTGTAAGCTGTGATTTTTACAAAGTATAAAATAACAGGGAGTAGTTATGATTTTCTCTACCCTGAAAACAAAACTAATTTATTTTCACTTTCCTCCCAGCTACCTAGCTTTACCTAAAATTGTGTATTTGTGCTACAGAATGTAAATGTTAATCTATATTCATCACACAGAATGACTGAAATATGCATTTATCATAAACTACATTTGTGAAAATAGCAACAGTCGTTGGTACTAAAAAAAGGAGCATTTAAGGTGAATTTCAAAAAAGCCATTTATTTCCCTTTATTCATAGAAATCAGCTACTCCAAAGTTTTAACAAGCTGTAACAATAAATAAACCAGGGAAAATGAAGAGACAAAACCAGGCCTGGTTTTGTCTCTTCATTCACTGCAAAAGTGGGATTTTTGACTCTGTATTCTGACGCGAACGCAGCTGCTGAGCGACAGACACTGACAGCAATCGACAGTTTGCATTTTCACTCACCGGAATCGAAATCTGTCGATGGGGAGCGGGAGGTGTTAACGACTCTACTTAGCATACGAATAGCCTAGCATATGCAAAGGCGCTTCAGCAGACCCACGTGGATTCTCAGTCATTGGATGAAAAACAATGACATCACAGATCATTGACATGTGATTGGTTGGTTGATGTGTGCCCACTGGACAGCACTTGTCTTTACAAGTAAACCCCGCCCCAATCATTAATATTTTTAATACTGTATTTTAAAAAAATCTATATAAAAAATAAATGCTGTATTAAAATACATTCATTTGATATTGCTTATATGCAACATGTTCATATGAGTTACATAAATGAGGCACTGAAGTTTTTTTTCTGTTTGCACACAAAATAAGAAATAAGACATAAATGCTTGTCCATTTCTGGACCATCGGGTGGTGCTTTTTTTTTTTTCCAAATATGATCCAACATTATGCTGCGTTCAGGACAGGCCTGACGTCTGAGCTCCTGGTTGGGGCAACTTGGGGTCTCAATCTCACCACAGTCCATCCTGACACCCCCTCATCACTGCCATCCTCCCAGAATCCACCTCCTCTGCTGCCAGTACTCTCTGCCTTCCTCCATCAGCTGTTAATACAGACAGACAATTATTATGAGCTACAGTGAAAATGTTTGGCAACTTCCAGCTTAGTATGCACACATAAGACATTAAAACAAACTGCATTATATTAAAACATTCTTACAGAAAATAAAAACTTTAATGAAAAAAGAAAACAATTGAAAGAAAAAGAATTAAAAGCAGTTGGTAATAAATAGTAAAACATAATTCAACAAACTCTGAGGCAGATAATTTGCTTTGATGGATTTTAATAAATCACAGTACTTTAATCGTTCAAGGAATTGTGACATCTCTAGTAATAAATCTTAGCTGCTTCTCTGGATGACTGGCAGTAGGTCCTGGATGCAGCTGGAAAACATTTTTGTGCATTGTCAATACATAGCATAATTACATTATGTACATAAACAATATTGAAGCATAAAATATCAACATTCTAAAATGGTAGATACTCACAGTTGCATCTCTGTCCTCATCACGGACATCAAGATGTTTCTGAAGATTCTGATTGTCACAAATGTGACTCCCATTCTGTGGAGTGTCTGTGGAAATAAATGTACAATTAAATAATATATATTGTAGCAAATATAGCAAAGAATACAACTTTAACTATACCCTCTTTTGAGGGTATAGTTAAAGAATAATCTAAAGAAATCTTAAAGGTGAAGATGAGAACCTAAAGGAAAAGCAGATAATTACAACAAAAACCAGGATTTCTAGCAAACAACAAATCCACCATCACAGCACCACAAAGCTGCAGCACACATACTGCCCAATTGGCCAAGAGGCACTGAGATCAGTTTCCCAGCTAGCTTTATACCACATGTGTCAAACTCAAGGCCCGCG